GTGAAATATATTTATGTTTGTGGTTGTGACAAAATATGGAAAAGTTCAAGGGGTATGAATACTTTTGCAAACCACTGTATGAATAGTCATTTCCATCTCACCTGTTGAAGCTCCTTCAGAGTGATCACAGGTATCCTATCTCATTGGTAGATATCCGGTGGATTGACACTAGTCCCATGTTCACTTTGTAATAATTTTACCAGAACTCCAGGGATGCACTTGTTATAGGCATTGTAGCCTACACAATTGGTTGATTTGATAACGGCAACAAGTAAACATGATGAGCTTCTGACTATAATAAAATGCTCTGCACCTGMCTTGGCTTAAGATGGATCTTTTATGAAAAGTGCTGGCTCAAAGCGTCCTAATCCCTTTTTATGAATTTTGAACTTAAAAGAAATGTGGCCATATCTCAAGCTCACTCCTTCAATGGAGCAGGGATAAAGACAACAAAGAGGATTTGAACTCAGGTAATCTGATWTAGTCCTTTCTTATTATATGAACTCCAGCTTTTCAGCGTCAATAATTAATTAGTCTTGTTTGGACGATTGTTATCAGTCTTTTGTTYATTGTACGTCTCTTTTCGATATAACAGAGCAATAATTTCGCACCGTATACATACCTACGATAATGGACATAAAACAGGGAGAAAGCTGTCCCCTTTCTTCCGGAGAGTCGCTTCTCCCGCCGCTCTCACCGCAGCCCTGCCCGGCGGGAAGCAGTCTCGTTTTACAGGGAAATTCAACCGTTATCTTCTCCTTTCCGTATAACGTACAGCAATTCAGAGCGCATGTTGGGATTCATTCGAGCGTCTCTGTGCGTCAGAAAACGCTCCGCTCTGACCGGACAGCCAGAACAARACTTCCGGATCCTTTCAAAATAAAAGCTCGTCTTCTGACCAATTTAAAAAAAACTGTTTTCCCTTAGATTTTCTATTAGTCGGTTTTCAAATCAGAGGCTATTTTTCAGTTCTTGTTTCAAAAGTGGGCTTTGTTCACTCTACAGAACACAAAATMAGTTTTCATGTGGAAAAATAGGATTTTTAAAAAAGCCTACAACTAAAAAAGTATCAAGAAACTAAAAGTAGAGTTTCCCATTCTCGTTTATCAGTTCAAATGTAAAATGATTAGAATTAAAGAACGTATTTAAAACGTAATTAAAAATATCCATGCCCGTTTATTCCTTTTCTAGGGTCACGGGGGTCACTGGTGCCCATATCCAGCAGTTACAGTGCGAGGGGTGGGGTACACTCTGGACAGGTCACAAGTCCATCACAGGGCCACACATAGAGACAAACAACCATTCACTCACACCTAGGGACAATTTAGACTTACCAATTAACCTAAGTCATGTTTTTGGTCTGTGGGAGGAAGCCAGAGTGCCCGGAGAAAACCCACTCATGCATGAAGAGAACATGCAAATTCTACCCAGAAAGGTCCCCGGCCGGGATTTGATCTGGCAACCTTCTTACTGAGAGGCATCAGCTCTACCAACTGAGCCACCGTGCCGCCCAAAAATTAAAGATGTGCAAATTCTAGTGTATCTGTCCTGACTTTAAAATATTAAAGCACACAGTTTACAAATCCTTTCATTATTAAACATGCGGTAATATAACAAGATCCTAAAACAAACTAGGACCATTGAGATGTAAAATTAATGTAAACAAATACATTTAGAATGGGAAAGTAAGGAGGAACTAAAACACAACACACAGGCTTCAGACTTCTTGCTTTTGTAAAAATGTGAGCCAGTCACTGAATAATTAGCCAAAATGGTTTATTTTTTTCTGCTGAACTTTGAGTTCACAATTTGCACAATTTAAACATTTGTTTATTCTAAGCTCCAGCTTTAAAGACTGTAAGAGAAATCTGACAAATATATTATAGAATTCAAAGAAATGCCTGATTCATTTCTACACCATATGACAGAAAATGAATTCAAATACTCAATAGATCACAAAACTAAATATGYCTGATCAAACATTTCAGCACTGTGGAATTTTTTTTGTTAATAAACCAATGATCCAAATTTTTTTTTTTAATTCCCCACTGGCAATATTTTGGAAAAAAAAAAAAGAAAAAGGGAGGACAATGTGAAAATGCAAGCCCTGACAAGGTTTGAGGCTGAGTTATAGTTCAGTAACACAAAGCTGAGAAGAAACGCATGCAGCGACAGTTTTGATCTGTGGAATAATGTATGTGCAGTATATTAGTTTTGTTGCCATWTGAAGAAACAAAAGTTTGAACGTAACAAGGTTGACTGGACTAAGACATTACATATGTWTATAATGAATACAGTGAGTTTAAAAACGGATTGTTCAGTGTTTATCTACGTAATCAGAACATATATTCAAACTTCATTTATTCATGCAGGAGAGGTGGGACAAGAACTTTGCATTTAACACTTTAAAAGCAGATACTGTTTGTTAGTAAACATGCTGGTTCTTTTCTCATGTCAATTCTGTTTTAAGATAAAGGCAATCTTATTCAGAAAATTTCACATCTGAATTAATCAAGATTTTTGACTACAGATATGCAGATGATGGAGTCAAAGACTAGTAAAAAAACAGAGGGGATGAAGACATTTACTTCAACCAATTTCTCCAACTTTGAATCGAATTTCAGTATTTTGTTTTAGGAACAATAAAAGGCAAATACCTTATTATATTACTACCTCATTACAGAAAAATAATTATTGTATAGAAATCTATCAAGATTGAAAGTCTGTAATATTTGATGGTATTTCAATTAGTCATATGAAAGTAACCTCAAACTTCTTGAAAGCCTGGATAAATATTTTGTTACCCACCTCTCCTGGGGCCTCATGTACAGACATGGCATACGGTCAAATCTAGAAAACGGAGTACGCACAAAAAAATCCAGATGTATCAAACTGTGCGTACGCCTGAATCCACGCACATTTTTTTGTACATCACAATTAACGAGGAACTGAGCGCAGGTAGGACACCTCCCCTGACACGCCATCATTTACACATGTTAAACAGATGCAAATTACTTCCTGCATATGTGAAGGACACGTTTGAGTGATCCCTGCACGATCAGAAATGATTTCTAGAGTCAGGAAAATAATGAATTTAATATGTGAGTGAGAAAAAAATCCTAAGTAAAAATAAGAGTAAAATATGTTTGTCACGCAAAGAACGAGTGATTGTGTGTTGGTGTGTGTGTGCGTGAAGCTGCTGTGGTGCGCAACAGGCGCATCTATTCATTCTGAGCCTGGAAATATTAGCTTTACGCATGAGTTTATTACCATAATTAGAGAGGAACAGAGGAACTTAAATGTTTGGTAGAACATAAATCTTTATTTCGTAGCTGATATGAAGAAACGACTCCCTGCCCCTCAGTGGAGAGTTTTCACGACGTGACATTATGTTGGAGAGTTAGATTCAGATGGATGAGACCGTTCCATCGGTCATGATTCAGCTTAGGGTGGACTGGACTGGCACAGTACTGATGTATCTGCCAGCTCCCTTTGGAAAGCCCCTGTGGAACCCCAGTTCAGTCGCTGCTGCTGCACGCGCACCGATGTGTTGCGCTCCCAGAGCGTGCCGCAAGTGCCAAACTGAAAAATGATTTTTCCTCAAAACGGCTGATGAGCCACTCATCATCATGGATCAGAAAATTCTAAAAAAAAGCTCTGCGTGTTACACTATTTATTATATCCTCAAGTAAGGCTGAATCCGTTCCTGGTAAATGCATTTTTGGCACAACTTTGCTCGTCTTTTATCTGTGTCCATGTGGATGTAATAATTGTTAATCATGTGTGTCTGCTGTGAACAATAATCATTTTCACATCATGAATAGTTTCTCAGAATCACCTCTAAGTGTCGCCAATGGAACCAAAACCACAGAAACGTGCATACGCCAGCCCTGGATTTGGCGTGGGGCTGCGCACATTTCCACGTTCAGTTGAGTTTTGATACATCCGGAGTTTTGCGTGGAAATGGCGTACGCAAGGTTTTTGTGCGTACGCATCTTTGATACATGAGGCCCCTGGTGAGGCTTACCTTGTTTTAAACCACAGTATAATACAGACATCCAAACATGATCAAAACAGAAAAACCACTAAAGATTCTGAACACCACACAAAAGTACATAATCCAAAGAAGAACAAAAAAAAAAAAACCCAATAATAATGTCAAGTATAAAACTCTGGGAAACACTGTCCCCGACAAGTTGTTCCACCCTTCAAGTGAAATATGAGAGACACTGCTCCCGATAAATACACAACATACAAAATACAAACACAAAAAAAAGGGTAGACAAAAACTACCGTCACTGGTCATCATCATGGAAGACACTGCTCCCGATAATGGGTTTAAATTATGGAAGGCACTGCTCCCGATAACGTCATTGTTGTGCTCCATCGTAGAGACTGTGCAACATAAATGGCTTCGTTGTAAATCATAACCAATCAGTTCAAATAACCATATCAAGAAGAGGTTTGAGAATCTGTTAATGTTTGTATTGCWTTTTGTTTTTATAAATTTTACATTTGCATAGCCATAAAATTAATTTTGCTAAATCTGTATCATGCCTTGAGGCAAATAAAGTTGGTTTTAGCAGAAACAGTTCCTACTCATAATTTAGACAAACCAATTTCAAATTTACTACCACTTATTTCTTCCAAGTTTGTCCAATACTTCATAAATGGGAGAAACAACTGCCAGAAAAAGGTAAATGTAACGTTATCTAAGGCTCCATTATGTCAGCAACAATTAAGGAGTCATTTCTGTAGCAGATGCTGCTGTGGCTTTTCGACAGTATAACCGTCATAATTATGGAAGACACTGCTTCCGATAATGATGTATAAAAAAAAAAACAAACAATAATAAATATAGTGGGCACTGCCACTGATAAATACGAAATGATATAAATAAGGTCTCAGTGCTTTGATGGCAAGAGGCAGCAGCAAAAGATTTGCCTGGTTCAGTGTGTTGGTCGAGTAGTAGAGGTGAACTCATCAGTTGTTGTTTTTTTCCTTTTTTTCAAGCATTTGGTTCACAGTTCTTAAATTATTTTTTTCTTCTTTTCTCCAATAGAATCTTTAAAATAATAATAATAAAAAAAAAGAAACCAAATCTATTTCTCTTCCTGAATTTACAGGATGGGACCTCTGTTATTTGGTGCTTAAGGTGTTGTTGTTGGAGCACTAAAGTGAACTTTCAGACACAACCTTCACACGCTTTAGATTTCGTCGTCAATGTCCCAGATGTTCTCCACCATGGCGTTGGCACATCCCTGCAGGTTCCAGGTGGCCAGGGCCAGCTGGGTGCGGAGCTGCTCCACATCGGTCGTCTTCGCAATGGACTCCAGGGTGTGGGAGCCCCGGCCGAGCAGGAGGTGGCGAAAGGGAGTCTCAACGGGAGACACGTATGGAGAGAGGAGGGAGTGCTCGACCTAAAAATGATGGGGGGAAAACCGTTTTAAAAATCAGGAGCAGGAGTAATCTTCATCACCAGACTTTAAAGTGATCTATCCAGAATTCATGTATAGAGCCAGTATCTCACAGGGCTGTGACTGTTAGTGATTGATTGACAAGCAGCATTCACAAGGGAGTCTCCACAGTGTCTTCGAACATTTGTGGGGAAATGCAAAAATGTTCTCCAGGAGAATACAACTTAAACATGAAAGATGCTGCCAGGGTGGTGTAACAAAGCAGCCTGAGGCAGGTATATAAAATAACGCATGTGGCCTAGAATAAAAGGGAAGTCGTGCAAAATAAAGCTGCAATATTTTAAAAGGGATCCCTGATTAGTTGTAACATTAGACTTTATTTGATAAACATTTGTATTTTAACTATAAAATAAAGACTGTAAAAACACTGTAAGCTGTTTAGCAAAATTTTAAAAATATATATTTAAACACGGACGGAGCCATTTTATTTGTACACAAAGCATTCTGGGCAAATGATGACGTGGATAGGTCCTCGGTGTGAGCGAGCTATATCCACCCTGAAGGTTAATCTTGGACAATAGCTGATGATCAACTCTTAAATGAAACCAGAGAGCGTTGACAGAGAGGAGAAGGTAGAAATGACTCAGCCTGTAACTGAAAATATAGATGGAGGACAACAGAGCTGCTTCATGGAAGAAGAACCTCAGCTTAGCCTGTTAGGCTGTTAGGCTTTGAGCTAGCGCCGATGCTATGTTGTCTTATGTGTATTAGCTCGGCGCTAGCACGACAAACAAGCTAAACTGAGGTCCTCCATCCATGTTTTCAGTTACAGGCTGAGTCATTTCTACCTTCTCCTCTCTGTCAACGCTCTCTGGTTTCATTTAAG